GCATATTTATGTTCAATTTTCAGTGAAATTCTGAGTCTGGTCCAGTTCAGTAAATTCACGTCAGTTCAGTTCCGATTTTTTAGCCAGTTCCGATTATACCGGTCAAGTCCAAATATCATGTCAAGTTCCAGTAGAGCATCTTAACATATTAAACAACTATTTTTATCAGTCTGAGTATAGTATTTAGTAATTGTTTATATTATGTTTCAGTTTGATCAGGCTACGATTATCAGCACTGCCTTTTCATTTCAACGGATCAGGTGGGGACTCAGACTGGGTATTACATTGATTATAATTACGGTACCTTGTTTGAGGTATGTATTATCAGTATCCGCTCGGAATGGTCGCCGGTCCATTCTGGGTTCTAGTGGCCCTAGTCTGCCCACTAGAGTGTGTACATGGTGTCCGACATTTTATGCTGACAGATGTTCAGGTATCAGTCAGGTGATGATTATCACGATATCAGTATCAGATCATGATTATTCAATACCAGTTTCAGTTCAGTTCAGTTATATATGCCAGGATCATGATATTGTAATTATTTTTACTGTTTACTTTAGTATGAGTTTCTACGGAGCACAGTGGATTTAGTGCTCACGCCCTACATTATTCATGTTTTTCAGGTCACAGGGTCGGAGCCGAGGAGTGAGCTGGCGGTCGGTTCAGGATTTTGATTTCATGGTTAAAATGTTTTGGCTACGCTACGTTTTTCCGCTGATTACGACTGTTTGCCAAACTTAGCTTTTGATCCGACTTTCAGTCGGTTACTATGTTATGTTAAACCGTTTTATTTTTCTCTAAAACTAAAATAACGGTTTTCAGGTACAGTCATGTATTATGGTAGCACTTCGAATCAGTATTTCGCAAAATAAATGTTTTATTTTGTAAAACTTTGCGAAAAACGCACTCTGATTTTCATGAAATAGCGGGGTGTTACAGATGGTATCAGAGCACGTTTCTGCGTCTCTGAAAACTTTTATGAGTCAGAAATTTTTCAAGAACCTGAACACGTCACGCTCACGCCTCGCCGACTACATGTAAGTGTTGATTCATGTTTTTAAATTATAAACAAATTACTATGTCTATGCTCAGAAATTCCACAGTTATGACTTAGTTAAGATGCTCGAATCATGTTCAGGAATCATAGTTCAGTATATCCATGATTAATGTTAGTATTTCCCAGTAATGTTAAGCAACTCGTCAGGAGAATTTTAAGCACTTATGTTATACAAATCTTAGCAATCATGTTCCTCAGACATTTTCTATCGAAAATTTCCCATTTTGCCAACCAGTTGGCACATTCCAATGAGGAATTCCTTGAGTTAGATCAGAGAATAGACTCAAATTTCCTAAATCAGATCAGTAAATCATGTTCAAGGCTAAATTTTCATGCTAAAGGTTGTTATATTTCCACGCCATTGTCAAAAGTAACGGTTTCTAGTGTATAGGAATCAATATTCTGGGTTACCATGGAGGCTTGAAATAAAAGCCATTTAGCCGGGTATACCATGGAGGCTTGAAGCTGGGACCGAAACAGTATGATTTCATGTATTAACAACCTTTAAAGTCAGTTATGTCAGGTATGTCATCAATGTGATATTCCAAGTTATGGTTGCCAAAGTTCAAGATCAGTTATTCCTTTCGTACTTGCGGGATCAGTTGATACTGGAGCCGCCCTATACAGTACATAATCATGAGTCAATGATCACGATTTAAGGTCAGTCAGTGTTCATGAATTAAGGTCGACGTATAATAGTTATTAAGCCGGGTTAAATATGGAGGTCTGATATACCGACCATTATTCCAAATTTACCTGGAAACTTGAAGGCACACCTTATCAAGCCAAGTAAGTCAGTAAATGTCATGTTCCAATTACGTGCTTTTTATGTTGGTCCATTCCCCTTTTTTTCTTTTTTTTTTCCACTTGATTTTTTTTTTAT